TGAATAAATAGTTTTTCACTTGCTTATATGGCTGAAATGATGTTACTCCCTCTATCCCATTTTGTTAAGTTAAACTTTCTTTTATTGGCTGTCCCAAAAATATGAACACTTTCTGAAATTGAACTCTATTAACTTTTTACTTTCCTATTTTATCCCTTTATTTATCATTTCACCTTTTTAATTTTTGTGGACACAATACTACCTTTTCTCACTTTTTGGAGATTACAATTGTAAAAGAACAACTATATCTTTTATTTTCTTAAAATTTTTTTCTAACCCAAAAGTATCTTACATACTCCCTCCGGTCCTAAATAAACTTCACACTTTCCTTTTTGGGTAGGTCCAAAAATAAACTTCACACTTCTATTTTTGGCAACTTTTTACTATAAAGTTACCTTTATACCCTTAGAGCATCTCCAATGCTAAAACGTTAACGGTGCATACGTGGCATGAGAAATAACCAATTAAAAAACAATAAATACAATATCTCTCTCCTTCTTTCCACTGTCTTATGTGTTTATAGTAAGTTTTGTCTACAATGTCAACCACAATGTCTACATTTAGACATTGTGCTTGACATTGTGAAGAAAAACTTACCAAAATGATTTAAGATCCTTCAAATAAGGAGAGAGATATTGTATTTATTGTTTTTTAATTGGTTATTTTCATGCCACGTATGCACTGTTAACGTTTTAGCATTGGAGATGCTCTTACTTTATTACCTACTTTACACCCACTTTCTCTCTCCCACTACACTTTATCTACTTTTTGTAGGGGTATGGTGGGAAAGTCAAAACAAAAAATTAAACTTTCTTAAATACCGTAAAGTCAAACCATGAAGATTATTTAGGACCGGAGGGAGTATTGGACATAGGAGTAATTTAATGAATTGCGCTCGCTGAAGTGGTTAATAGTTAATACTACGCACTTAATAATGAAAGAGATAAAGCTGGAGGAACATTTTTTGGCTAAAGTTAAGTGATTAAAGATGAATGCTTTAGCTTTATCACACATTTTCCCTTATTGTATCAATAAACTAAACCCCTTGTTCACTCGTGATCGCTCCCTTCTGTGTTTTCATGGAAGTTAAAGGGAATTAAGATTAAACTTATTGTAGTGAATAGTGTAGAAAAAGAAGACAAAAAAGATAAAAAAGATCAGAAAAAGAAGAGAGGAACTGGTAAAGTAAAAATACATACTCGATATTCTATCTGTCTCGAAATAGTCTTCACCTTTCCCTATTATTTTGATCTAAAAAGTATCTCTCATTTTCTTTTAAGAAGATATTGTGGGGGTCATGATTTCTCTCACCTATTTAAGTCTCAGTTAGTATGTTTCATTTTATTAAACCGGCCGTGCTCAGTTAAAGTGGGTATTTTTTTAGGGACAGAAGAAGCATATCTTTTTGTGATGAAAAAGTAGGAAAATTGTCAAAAGAAAGTGGAGCAATAATGGTCAATGAGGAGATATATTTTGATTTTTTTCTATAATTCAATAATTTCATCAGCATCAGCCATAACACCACTGCTTCAGCCAAATTCTTGCTGTTATGAAACATGCTCTCAGTTTGCAGTTATAAATGTTTGCTTTTCAGGTCATGCTGAGACTTTGATTTTTGATGTTCTAAAGCTTGAATGGTCTGTTGTTGTTGCATCACTTCCATCATCTATCATCACCAACAAGGTTAAATTAAACTACTTATTGTGTATATTCATTATTACTGTTTAGTCATAGTGGGCAGTCTCGGAAAATGAATACTGCTTGTTTAAATTCTAAAGGGTTTCAGCCTAGTACTGGTGCAGCACAAGGAAAGGGATTTCCTTGTAGCCTTTGGTGGTTTCAGGAAGGAACCTTCTAATCAGGTGAAACATAATTATATCTATATTATTCTCTAGCCAATGGAATATTATAGCCTTTGTGTTCACTATTTGAAGCTTTGTTCCAAAGGTTGAAGTGCTAATGATTGAAAAGAACGAATCTTCAATGGGGCGGAAATCAGCATTAAGTAAAGTTGCTGGAAATTTGCATTTTGGAAACCGCCTTTCCTCCATTTTGTCTGCTACTCAACCATGTAATAATGTATCTAAAAGCAATTGTGAAACAGCTTCTAAACGGCATCCAACATCTGCAGCTGAACATGGTGGCTCTGGTAGAAAGTCACTGTCAGAGTCTTTGCTCAGTGACCCGAATTCTGTTTCGGGCAATGTTTCACTTCGCAAGCAGTTTTACAATGAGGGAGAAACCAGCTTTCCAAAGAGCTCAGAGAATGAAAGTTCTTTACAGGTAAAAAGGTGGAGGTGTCCAGTGCTTCATTTGCTTTGAAGTTATATTCCTAGTATTATTAATTTGAGTAGAGGTGTTTGCTTGTGAGTACTTTTTTAAGCCATTAGAGTTCCTTGGGAAATGATTATTACTCCCTCCGTCCCGGAAAATTGTTCCCGCATTGACTTGGAACGGAGTTTAAGAAAGTGGGAATAAAGTGGAAATGTATGGTTGTGGTTGAGTAAGAAAAAGGTAAATGAATTGTAGCCACAAAAAACTTTCCAAAAGGGGAAAGTGGAACAATTTTTTGGGACGGCCCAAAAAGGAAACCGGGAACAATTTTCAGGGACGGAGGAGTAAATTATTTCATGTAGGGGTGCTGAGTATAACCATTTGTTTAGTACTCCCTCCGTCCCATTTTACCTGTCTTACTTTCCTTTTTGGGTTGTCCCAAAATAAATGTCACATTTCCCTTTTTGGAAAGAATTATGTGGTCTACAACATTTCACTTTATTATATTCAAATCTCAACCACAACTTTTATCTTTTCAACCACTTTATTAATAATTGTGCCAAATTCAAATGAGACACATAAATGGGACAGAGGTAGTATAATTTTGGAAGAAGAGCGGGAGATTCTTTTAGTCGTCTGGGTAAGGACTAAAGTGGAGGAAGAAAGAAAAAACTGATGAGGCCCACCAATTGTCTTATGCTTTTATGGTAATGACATTTTTAGGATAGGAGTTAAAAGAGTAATCGGCCACATTAAATAGTTGAAAAGACACAAGCTTGTTACGTTAAATTAGGTAAAGACATTAAAGTTGATAAATACTACATCCATACCTAAAAGGTTTGCCAAGATTGATTTTTTGGTCAGGTTCGTTGAACTTTGACCAATAACATACATAGTATATTTGATGCAAAATATATTTGAATGTGAAAATATTAATCATATTCTTTGTTAAAATTTTAAAAATTACTACGTACAAGACATTGGTTAAAATTGAGATGCTTTGACCCAAAAAGCAAAGTTGGCAATCCGTTAGGGAGGGTGTGTCTTTAAGCCACATACTATTTCTCTCTCTCCCATTTCTCTCTCCTATTTCTCTCCGTCCAAACAACTTGAAAGTGTACCCGTTTTCCGCTCATTTTCTCTTCTCTTTTCGTCAATACAAAGCACTAGTATAGGTTGCACAGAAAAATAGAGGTGGCAACGAGAGACTCGGAGAAGGTATACATTAACACTCACATATTCCTGTGTCCTTTTATATATGATTTGTGTTACAGGTAATAATAGAGCGTGAAACAAGTGAACTTGACAAAGGACTTGAACGGTTCGATGGGGAAACTGTTTCTGAAGAAGTCCACACTGTACCCAAATCCACTGGGGGAGATATGGTTACTCACAGAAAGCAAGGAAGCACAAACTTTCCACTAGACAGCGACAGTATTGTCTTTCAAGAAGGTGATGACAAAGTCAGGGTATCAGATCCAATCGGTCTCTATCAATCATTTGAAGCAAAACTAACAGCTTTGTTGAGGAAGAACGGACTTCTTGAATCACAGCTGGCAGCAGCATTGGCCAGTCGTGAAGCGGCAGATAAGAGTTTCTCCTCTGCCCTTGAGAGTAAACTGGAGATAGAGAGAAAGCTCGCAGATGCTACTAAGGAGATAGAGTTGCTGAAAGAGAAGCTGGCGGGGTGTAGAATCTGCACAGGAAGAGTCTAACAGCTTGTCCAATATTGTTCACTCTGATAATGTTAGGCTGGAGCATGATGTTGCTTTTCTCAAGGCAGTTTTAGATGATACTCAAAAGGTACCATATAGGCTCTTATTTTGAAATTCGTTTAGCACTCAAGGCACTTCCTTTCTTTTGAAGATGCTAAATACATCGAGTAATTGTAATTTGGATCACATTTTAGGAACTGCATTCAACTAGGGGAGTTCTTGCTGGTGAGAGGGCCAGAGCTTTCCAACTACAGGTATAAATCTGGTTTCTCGCTATATTAACCATCCTTGTCATAAGTCTTAGTGCCGTTTGGTGTCTACATGTGTTTTCTTATCCACTAAACAATACTCCCTCTGTATCAATTTATATGTCCCATTTGCCTTTTCACGTAGTTTAAGATAATTAATGTGTGCTTTATAAAAAGTAAGAGATTTTTGGTATTGTAGCGGTACTGTAGTTGCTTTTTGGGTGAGTTTCTTTCCAAAAAGGAAATGAGACAATTAATTTGATACAGCCCAAAAATCAAACCGGGACAAATAAACTGATATGGAGGGAGTATTTTTTTGCTAGCTGCATCAGTTGATGTTGATCAATAATGCTCTGTTTGGTTAAAAGGAAAAACGTAGAAAATAAGGAGAGAAAATGGAGAGAAAGTCAATACTTTCTTGTTCCGAAAGCAAATAAAGTTAGACCCAAGGAAAGAATTTGGGGCATACCATGCCACCTCTTGAATTCTTTAGTATTGTGTAGAGAAAATGGATGAGGACAGGTGTTTTTGAAAATTTTCCAATATATCCTTCATCCTTCACTTCTGCATCACATCTTGAGTGAATGATATTTTGTCAACGATATCATACCTTTCTTTCTCTCCTACCAATCAAATCCAAAATCCATGATTTTTCTCACCTTTTCCTCATGTCACACTTCCTTCTAACTCTCTTTCTAGCTTTTCTATTTTTGTACTCAACCATAAATAAAGCTAAAAAAGAGTAACCGCTCACGTGAAAAGGTGAAATGATCCCACAGATCTCGCCCCATTGTCGCATATCATTTTCATCTTGTAGCTAACACTTTTGGGCTAAAAGTCATCATTTTTCAAAGCACTCATAATGCTCCATTTTACAAGTGATAGCTTTTAGTTGAAAAATGATCCGGCACGCAGGTTGAGCCGTTGAGGTGGGTGAGACCCCACACAAGTTTTAGCCTTAAAAAACAAGTCCAACAATTTTGTTTTCATCTTTTTATTTTATTTCTTACAATGTATTATTGTTAAAATACCATTGAAGGTTGGTTTTGTGCATGGCTCTTTAGGCATCAATTCTTTTATTGCCTCTGGTCAACTTAAATGATTTGTACCAAAATGTAGCTCCGTTAGAGCTTATTTTCCATCCATGTTTATTTTACTTTTTTTTTTTTAATTCTTAATAAAAGGAATTGGCATGACCTTATGAAGACAGTGCCTTGTCACAAAAGACCTATTATGATAGCTTTATTTAATCTGTGTGCAGGTCGAAGTATTCCATCTAAAACAAAGATTGCAATCCTTAGAGAACCGAACTCCAACTCCTCGGAAACAATTCCATGTCTAGAGTATATTATATAGATAATTAGATATTAGACTTCTTTGTATATTAATGTAATCTTTATGTAATGTAGTGTATAATTATGTTTGTGAAATACGTAGTATAACTATTCACATCTTTTGCTTTTGTAGTTCGATGACAATCAGTGAGTAATATGCTTCGGGTTATAACAAAAACCACATCGTCCCAAAATGAAGACTCGTTTGAGGAACTAACATGCTTTTGGGCTTTACTCTTTAGGTTGTACGAACCTTTATTTAACACTCCTTTGGAATCGAGTATCTTGTGTCACACTGTCACAGAGACACAGACTCACACACGACTGGACACTAATATGGTTTTGAATCAGGATTCGTGCCTCGTGAGTAATATATTCCAATCTCCCATCAGATAGTACCGAATCCGGACCATGGACATGGTTTCATTTTTTCTCGATCAATTTGTGATTTACACTAATTTTTTGATGTCACAATTGAGCTGTTCTTTGTGTACACAGTACACGTAGGGACATGTACACCTTGTCCTTTACATGCTAGTATGCTACCCAGATAATTTGGTATTTTTTAAAAAAAAAATTGTGTTTAGACGAATTGTCATGTGTTAGACTTACAGACAAAATAGGGGCGTGTACAAAAATGTGTACATATGTTGCGTACAAAAGGATTTTCTGTCTCAGTTTTGGTAGGAGCTAACACATAGTCTTTCTTTTGTTTCAAATTGCCTTCTTACAACCCCTATTTTCCTGAGCCTTGATTGAAATTGTGGAGATGGGTTGCCATACCAATCTGGTTTTCAGAGATCCTAAATCAGATTTGTGAGCGTAAATGTGGGGGATTAGAACCTTGAAAAGATTTTGTTCTGGTTCCGGTTAGGTATTATCGATCATTTGTTAATTATGGGATTCATTTGTCTTGTTCCGCAATTTGATTTAATCAAGCTGGAACCTCATGTAGTAGTCGCCAAGAACTCTGAGTCCCTAACTCCCTATATCCTACATCCGGGTATAGGTACATTTAGTCCAACTAATGAGAACAACTCATTAAGTAATACATTCTAGTTTTTTTATAGTGGCATTTTTGTAATTTAAACAAAAAAATTAAGGCTTCCGCTAAATGAGCATTGGTGTATTTTTAGTGAGCATATGACATATTCTATTGAGTATTAGGAGCATAACAATGAACATCCACTCCTATTCTAAATTACGGCTTCATATTTTCTAATTCACTCTTTTTCTTTTATAAAAACTTATTAAATTATATCTAAAATCCACTCTTATGAATTTCAATATGCAAATTTAATGTAATATGATGCTTTTGAAATATGCATTGATATAACATTTTAAAATGAGTATCAAAATGAGTATAATCATTTTACATAATGTTTATTGATATGAAAATCGTAAAGTTTGTTAGTTTAACATAACGACATTTTCATTGAGCATCAAACCTCATCTATTGAGATGAAAATCACGGTTTCTGTTAAATGAGCATTAATGAACTTTTAATGAGCATCAAACCTATTCTGTTGAGTATTATTGAGCATCGTGAATTTTGCTTCATAACTTCTTATTCACTTTCTTTTTCTTATTTTTTCTTTTATATAAATTTTTAAATTATATCTATAATAGTCTCCTATGGATTCCAATATACGAATCTAATTTAATATTAAACTTTTGGAATATAAAAGATTAGATTTGAACTTTAGTTACCCTAGCCGAGAGCTGAGGGTTTTCCTCTTCGCCGTTCTGTGTGCAACGCGACTCAAGTGGGACGAAGGGCGAGGCTTCGGAGCAGAGCTTTGAAGCGAGATGGAGGACTCTGATGAAGGAGCGGGCATGGAGGGTAGCGTCCAGGTGAATGAACGAGTGGGAGAGATTGTTGCAAGGTACTGTGGCCTAGGAATTGGGGGCCAGGACGATGAATTGCTGATTGAAGATGATGAGGAAGAAGCCTCGACAGTGGGGTCGGTGAAGGAAAAGGACTTCCCGGTGGTTGGGTTGATCCTCACAGATAAAGCTATCCGCTTTCCATTTTTCCGGGGGTTCATGGCGGATCTTTGGCGCCCGGTCAAAGGGATGACTATACAAGAAATCGGTGAACGAAGGTATCTATTTAAGTTTTTCACTCTATTGATATGAATCGGGTTCTGGAAAACGGGCCATGGCTATATGAACAAAGTCTGATTGTGCTAAAGCTGTTAATCCGGGTGATATTCCTATTAAGATGGTGTTAGATGAATTTGAAATCTGGGTTCAGGTTCATAACGTACCCTATAGCTTGGAAAATTTGGGTACGGCAAGGAGAATAGGGAATTATTTGGAGGAGTTTGTTAGTTGGGATGAACAAAAAGCTAGGGACAAAAAGGAGTCTTATATGCAAGTGAGAGTTCGAATGAATACTACTAAGGCCTTAAAAATTGGAATCACTTTAAGGAAGAGCAAAGGTGAAGGGTATTGGGAAGATTTTAGGTATGAAAAGTTGCCAAGTTTTTGTTTCTGTTTTGGAATGATTGGGCATGCAGAGAAATTCTGCCCTCTGCTGTATGAAAAGGAAGGACAAGCTATGACTAGACCGTTTGGGCCGTGGCTCAGAGCAAGTGGAAGGAAGGCGAAGTTAAACTTGGGAAGCAAATGGCTGATAACAGAAGGAAGCTCTGCTGGCGGGGGGGTCGCATATGACTAGTATGAAGAAGCCAGAGCAGGAGGTGGTATCGGATGAGATAGGAGAGAGTGCTAAGACAGGCGGGGGGAAGGTTGTGATCTCGGGAGAGCTAGATGAGGGTGGGATGACAGGAGAGCTGAAGAGAAGACGTACGTGGGAGGACCAGACGAGGGAAGAAACTGGAAAGGATGCTATGGCGCTGGACTCTCCAAAAAATGGGGAAGGGGCGGGTGCTGGCCCCAGCCCCGCCAGAAGATTTGATGCTGGTTACGGCTTTTCTTGCCGAAAGACTTATTTACTCTTGTTATTTTGTTTTGTTTATTTTCCACGTTCTGGATTCTGTTTTTACTTTGGGTGTGCTTTGTTTTTCCAGCAAAGATACTTATGAAACTAATGTAGGAGCTGATGTGTCATGTCTACAAGTCATAGGCGCAAGTAAGTCCAAAGCGGAATCAGCGAATTATATGGCTTCTACAGAGGTGATTAATTCCGAGTCTGGTCCTTGGGCGGACGGTAGACAGGAGACTTGTCATCACACGGTTACCTATGTTAGTTGGATTTGTGTGTTTGGTTTGGTTATGATAAGTTAATCCAGTTTCATTAAAAAAAAAAAAAAAAACTTTTGGAATATGATCAAGACATTTCATTGAGCATCAAAACATTTCATTGAGAATCAAGTTTCCTCTATTTAACATTGAAACTCTGCAATTGAGCATAAAATTTTCAAAACTTATTGAGCATCAAAACATATTAATTGAATAATCAGCCGTAATAGTGTTTAGATGTATTGAAGACTTTTAAAAGTTTAAAGAATAAGTGTATTCAAACATAAATTGCTATGAACTTTTAACTCATTGTTAGTATATTAGTTCTCTATACAGATTTTGTGGAATCTTTCTTTCATCTTCTACTCGTGACAAGTACGCATGAACCCGGTTTCAGTATCAGTTTAGAATCCGCAAATTATTTAACTTACGGTAAAAAATCAACAAAAGCCATAAAAAGGTTCCTCGAAATAGTTTTCTGAAATAAACGGAACATGTAGATTTATTGACATATGATATTGTTTGGATACAGATCAGACTTTGACATATAGATTTGTTTGACCTAATTTGAAATGTTAATAATTAAAGAGTTTCATTTCACCCCTTTAATCCGTCGCAAATGTATGACTTTACCCTTTGGGAGAAGGAACAATTAGAACATTAAGATAAACCTCTAAGAGCAAATAAGACACTAAGATAATTTCAAGAGCATTTAGACCACTAAGGTAAACCTCTAAGAGCATATAAGACACTAAGCTAATTTTAGGAGCAAAAACCACCTTTTGATGAATTTTTTACTCTGTTTATATCATCTTCCCATTAATTTTTTATTTATCACACTTGGGGTCTTAAATAAAAATTTAAGACTAAACAAATCAAAACTCTAAGCATGTCAATGAGATACTGTATTTTGTATTACTTTCGTACTCTTTTAATTACAATATTGGACTTTTTACATTATTCATATATTCTACTTTGACTTAGAAAATATTTTAAAATTCAACTCATTTATATTATCAAAAATTGATTTGTTTTAATTTTCACTAATAAGGAATTAAAGTTATTAATAATCAAACTTGTGCGTTGGCAAGCGTGAAAAGTGGACCGCTGCAATTCTAAAAGAACGGAGGAAGTACAATGTAAACACTGAACTATTATTATTATTTTATTTGTTTACATTGTTATATTTAATAATAATATTATTATTATTATTATTATGATTGTTGTTGTTGTTGTTATTTATAGCTATAATTATAATTATAATTATAAAATAAGTATTATAATTGCAATTGTACTTATAAATATAATTATAATTATATTTATAAATACAATTAAATATTAATTTTAATTCTAATTTAAATAAATTTAATTATAATAATTATGTTTATAATATGAAATGAAGATTATAACAAAGTGTTTTTTGCTTGTAAAGTTAACCAAATTTATCTCAATAAATCATAATTAATTATAATTCTAATCTCAAAAAAATTAATGGGAAGATGACACACACACAAGGAGTAATAAATTCATCAAAAAGGTGCTTTTTGCTCTTAGAATTAGCTTAGTGTCTTATTTGCTCTTAGAGGTTTACGTTAGTGGTCTAATTGCTCCTGAAATTAGCTTAGGGTCTTATTTACTCTTAGAGATTTACCTTAGTGGTCTAATTGCCCCTTCTCCCCTTTACCCTCCACTTCAAATTTTGTTTGTTTGTATTAACACGTTTATTTTTATGATAACTACATTTTCAGTCGCTATTTCAACTATTTGCCAAACAATTCTACTTCATTCAACTAGCATTCCAGTTTCTAACAACTTCTACTGAACTCCAAACCATGGTCTCTAAATCGGTTAATAGACTCCCGTTTTCGTCCGTTTATCCAAACATAGCCTTACTAGGGTTAGCAATTGCATTTGCACTTGTTAGATAATCGATCTATCCATCCCAAAACATGGATGAAAACTCAAACGGAGACTCCATCACATTACATGCTCCTGGTAATACTATACCATCATCAAGGCACTCAACTTGTTGCATCTAGGCTTGAACCCGGTTCGGGCCACCCGGCCCGGCCCGGGTACCGGTACCGGGTCTAGGCCCGGTTTGAAGGGGAAACCGGGAGGCGGGTACGGGCTTAGGAAATTGAGAACCGGACCGGCCGGTTCCGGGCTCGGTTCGGGCCTTTTCATTTTTTTTTGGTTTGGGGCTTTGGGCTGGGTTTAAATGGACTGCAATGGGTGTTTCATATGGGTTTGTGGGATGGGGGGATGGGGGTAGGGGATAAAATAATCAAGAAAAAAATTAGAACCGGGCCCGGACCGGCACCGGTCAACTACCAAGCTGGTCCCGGTTCTCACAGAAATTTTTTCGGGCCCGACTCAGTCCATGACTAGTTGCATCTTCAAATTTGTTGTGCCACTCTATAACACTTTCTATTCGTTTTTTGAGCCACGATTTTGTGATCTCGATTTGGGCATGCCAATAGCCCAATACTTATCTATTGAATAGTGGAAGGAAAATCACCAAAGTTTTCGTATGGTGTTAGTGGTGGACCGGTTCCAGGCCGACCGGGCCATGGCCCGGACCGACACTGTTTGGAACCGGCCCGGCCTGGTGGCCCGGCCCAGTGGCCCGGGGGTTATACGGGTTGGTCTCGGCTCACCCAAAATAGGAACTGGCCGGGCCAGGCCTGGTTCGGGCCTTTTTTTTTTCATTTTTTTTTTGTTTTTTCCCGGGTTGGGCTGGGTATTTTGGAGGGGGGGGGGGTGGTTTGGGGGGGGGGGGGGGGTAATTAGAAAAGCAAAAAAAAAAATAAGAAGGCCGGGGACCGGTCCATGCCTATATGGTGTTCATGCACTTTGGATCAACATAGTAACCACATAGGAGAGAAGAAATGTACTATAAGCTATTTTTTATTCCCATTTACTACCTCATCTGATCATATCATGCTATTCATCTTAAGCCACTTAGATGCAGTAATGCACCATAGTTACCAACATATCTCGATTCTCTCTACATTTGCCATATGCAATGGCTTTTGAGTGCTTATCATGGGGCTTGAGATAAGGTTTGGTTTCACCTTCATGATGAGTAAAAAACTAAAAATGAAAGTCTACACATTATGAGTTTATGACCCTGGAGTGTGAGATTTCTCATCTCCAAACTGTTAAAAGTGTAATGGCTATCAGACTTTCCTAATAATGATGTCATGTATGACTAAATTTGAAATGAATGGTGCAAAATGAACTTTTACACAACACCAAGAACTTTCCCCATAAGATGTGTATGTAGTGACAAAATATATCAGTCAACACTAATTCATACATCACAAGTATGGATCTTGCCCAATATAGTAGCAGCATTGCATTTGCCTTGCTTGGCAGTTTCTCATAATCGTCAATTCTTTTTTTCTTTTTCATTTGCACAACAAAGCTCCGGAACAAAAAAAGGTGGGAAGAACCCTGGAGAATTTGAAACCCACATTCCCAAGCCAAATTGTAAGTAGCCTGCCACCCCAGAGCTGGAGAGTGAGTCAGACGGAGATAAACACTTTTGAGTTTCTCAGGGAGCAATTAAATCCTTTTCGTTTTGAAATTAGACTTGCACATAAATAAACAAAAGCTGGCTGCTCCAAAAAAATGAGCATTGATCCAAATTCTTCATGTTCAGAAGTGGGTGTGGGGTTGCTTGGTGCTATTCATAAGCTTAGCTAGCCAGCTAGAGGGTGGATCTGTTGAGGGTTGTGGGATCTTCTCAAGACTGTTTTTTTTTTATTCAAAATGGAACAACACAATTGCCCATGTTACTAGCCATGGCTAAGGTGTGCTGACCAAGGCAAGAAAGCTTCCTAAAGAGAGACTGAATGACACAAATATATATAAGGATACTCCATGGGTTGTTGAAGAGCAAAAAAAGAAACAGGAAGAACCCGGTTTTAGCTTGATGTGGAAAGCTCACCTCCATGGGCATGACCAGACTGCTTAGCACCGGAACGGGGAGTGGGACCACTCTTCATATGGGTCCGGATGTTAGATGATCCAGAAATGGGTTCGGGTCTCAACCCTGAGGAAGGCAGTAGAGCTGAAGTGCCGATTAAAGGGTAAGGTGCAGTTGGTACATCGGCAAGGGACGATGCAGACGGGCTGTAATTGAGTGTTCCCATGGGATGATCAAACTTGCAGGAAAGCCCGAAATTGCATATTCCATTTTGTGAGTAGTGAGAACAAATCGGTGCACCCTAAAGACAAGACAATCTAATTAAGAGAAAAAATAAAGACAAATAGATGATAAAAAAGTAAAGCAATTGAATCATCAAGCATATTCAACAAACAACCAATACAAGACATTGTACGATAATTAGGACCTTTTCACCCAGTGAGTACTTCAACATAAACTAGCAACTTCATGAACAAGAGAAGACATTGAGTTACTACTTTTGTCCATTTCTACTTAGGATACTATTCACTGGCTGAACCTACTACTTTTTTATTCAATTAATTTCTTTAGACTTTTTTTATAATTTAATGATTTGGTTTGAGCATTTAATAGTACTTTTTCATTCAGTCCTTAAATATATAAATTGTATGTAATGTTACAAGCTAAATATTACTCGTACAGATAATTTTAAATGGGACCTATGGAGTATAAAATTTCTTTTTCATCTCCTAATGTTTGCAGAGACTCAAGTAAGATACTCCCTCCGTCCCAAAAACAACTTCCCACTTTCCTTAAATGGATGTCCCAAAATTAACTTCCCACTTCAATACTTTCCTTATTTGGCAAATTATTTACATCAAAAAAGTGATAAACAGTGCCAAACAGTGTTTAAACAGTGCCAAACAGTGTTTTAAACAGTGCCAAACAGTGCATTCAACAGTAAAGTCAAATTTATTTCCTAAATATGTGTGTAGGTCAAACCGGGAGGTTGTTTTCGGGACGGAGGGAGTATATTTTATAATTTTTAAGGTAACTTTTAAATTACTAAATTTTTAAGCTTGAAAAGGAGCAGACTGGGTATACATTAAGCACATTAACAAATCAATTAAAATGAGCAAAATGGAAAGAAGAAGTTAAAGATAAAGGAATGACTATACAAACAACAATTAGGCTATTGCAAGTAGAAGTTAAACATACTACCATTATTACTATTGCTGTTGTTATTCAAGAAGAGTCTTGAGAATTTACCCCCGCCCCAATACCACCACCAAGGCCAGAGATATTTCAGAGAGAAAGTACAACAGCATTTTAAACTTTTCCTCTTTTACCTACTGGACCAAATCTGATAACTTCTCAGTTATTTAGCTCTTAAAAAAAGTCTCAGCAAAGCTCATCAAGGAGAATATACAGAGACTCTTTTTTCACCTTATTAGCAATGCTTCACTGAATAAAGTGCACATTTAATATGGCTTACCGGGCGTAGTGGAAGACCCATGGGGCTAAGTAAAAGACTTGTTTTTGTTCCACCCCATTCTGGGGGATGATGATATCTGCATGAAGATCCAAACTTACAATCTCCTGTTCTCATGTAATGTTGGCATTCGGGTTCACCAGGTCTTTGGGGAAGCGCATACTCCTTCTGGCTACTTGATGGAGTGGGGGAAGAAGATGGAACAGATACATAGGCTCCTGGATAGGCAGGTGAAGATGATGATAATTGAGTAAAGCTGTAAGCTGATCCAACTCCAGGATTGATTTGAGGATTAGGAGAGGCAACTGGACTAATGGGTGCCTGTTTGACAAATTTAGTAACTGAATTATGTTGTTTAAACCATGTCTTTAGTTAAAAGTAACTACATAGAGCCTGTTTGGTAAGGGTGATTTTGGGCTTTTTGGCTGATGTTGCTGCAATTGAACCAATATATTAGCTCAGGTGCTACTTATTTTCTTTAGGTACACCTTCTTCTACTGAGATTAGATCATTTTTTATAATCTCTCGATTTTTGAAAATTCCAATGCACCCCTTCACAACCCAAATACTCCCCATTAATGATACCAATAGATGATATCACTAGGAATTGAAATAACATTAATCCCTCATATTCTTTCTAAAAAATGACATTTTAATCGTAAGGATACAATAAAAACACAACATTCAGTCTAAAACACTTAGTTCCTGCTAATGTCATTATAATCTATCACATTTCAGTGTCAATGGTGTCATCTGCAATAATTTTGACTGCCCAAATGGTTTATTTGTAATTTACATAAATTTCTGAGGAGAGCTAAATGTAGTTGATCTTTTTTATTATCAACCAAATAAACGAGTGCACTCAGGTAAATTAGCATTTTGTAAAGATTCTATATAATAAGACTGATGAACCGAAAAAGCAGCTAACAAATTACCAAATAGCTGAATTTGAAAACACCTACCTGGTATGCAGTCCAACCCCCTGGAACCGGAACCAGACCAGGGGGGAGTATCATGGGACTATAAGCTCCAGGTACGTATGAACCTGGAAACAGTACTGGCCTGGGAACTGACCAGTTTCCAGGCAATACCCCATATTGTTGAGATGATTGAACAGGAGATGGCACTATTGGGTAAATCGCTGGTGGGACCATAGGTGTTGGTGCAGGCACAGCAGTTTGTGCGGGAAGTTGTTGAAGGCTAGCAGGCTGCGGATGATGAAATTTACAGGTGACACCAAATTTGCATTGCCCTGTTTTCACATAGTATGAACATTCTTTTTCACCCTGTTTTTATCAATTAAAAAGGGAAGAAACACTATGAATCAAATGCAGAAACATAATAATAATTGAGTAGTATCAGAACAACAATCAAATTTAAGTTTTGTTAAAAGAAATGTGCACCGGTCGCAATGGGCATCCGTAAATATTAAGTGCCACAGCAGCAGGAGATCCACCACCACCCCACTGTCTTGGATGGTGATACTTACAAGACGCACCAAATTTACACATTCCCGTCCTCATATAGTACTACAAGTTCGACACTTCAGAGTTAGAGACAAGCATGAGTAAGCCAGAAATACTATAATAGCCAATTATGAGGTTTTCTTATCATGTAAATATATAGAAATATATATGTATGGTTTGAACAAGTTCTCTACACACAGGAAGGATATGGACCTCATGAAGATAGAGCGGACAGATAAAATGAACAAAATTGGACCTACCATATTATATTTCCTAAATCAAGAAAATGCATTAAATGCTAGAAAGGAGATATAATCAGGAAAACCAAAATTTTATAGTGAATGAAGTAATGGCAGCAAACATATTCATTATGCTTAGGCCTGAAAGAAAATGGTAGAAATTTGTGAAAGGATTTCATTTAACTTTCAAGAAACATTCAACAAAAACGCACCAGCTGAATTTATTAAGGAGGAAAGAACAATACTCCAGTGTCAGTATAAGTGTGGGAAAAGAAAAAACGTGACGCAGATGGAAATTTATATTGTTCAATACCAGATATCACAGAAAGGGAAAGAAGTAATTACATAAATGTCATGTCTGCTAAGAAAATCAGTTTCAAATTCTAAAAATAAAACAAATCTCAAGCCTTTAAGTGCATAAATTCAACCGGGTTATGATTAATAGTAGAGGCGTAGAGCTTACCATAAAGTCAACTAAAGAAAAATGTATACGTAGTATAAAACAAGAGTGATGCTTCCAAGATCAACAACTTGCAAGTCGCGATCAAGATCAATAGAATAATTAAATGACGAACCCATTGGAAGTATGGAACAATTATATGATGAAATATCATAGCATATCCTTCCAAGTGCAGTACCCGTTGTGTGTTATTGTCAAGAACACATTTCACAGATGATTTTGTAAGTCAAAATGAACATCAATCCAAATACCTAAAAGGAAAGAGACAAATATCTAGGAAGAGCTAACACTTCCAATCTAATACTGTAGAAGGTAAATAAAAAGAATAACATTGAAGGAAATATGCAACAGGTTTCTTTCCAAGTGAAACATTCAAAAGTTCAATCAGATGTACAGTTGATCAGCAGCACCAAATACGTAGTACGGAGTATAAGGTAAGACAGAAATCTCCCACTGACCAAAAATATAGCCACCGGGAGGAAATTCAACTCAAGATGACCGGAGAAGAAGTTCAAAAATTACAAAAATAAAAGTAATTGAGTAGCAAAATTCATTCTTAATATCATCATGAACTGAATGTCGAATAATGTGAGGTGAAGAAGTGTACTTCTAAGTAAATAAAAATGGCAAATTTATTATTACACACAACTAGTTCAAACTTTGGAAGGCAGGAAGCCACCAGAAACAAATATCCAGAAACTATGCGCTGTAATAAGTTTAAAAACTAGAAATGCGAAACCCAACAGCAGTGATACGTTTATGGAAATTTACCTGGCAAACTGGCTGACCCACTCTTTCTGGGTACTCTTCCCCACTAGACCTCATAGCTCGGAGTGTCTAAAATCAGTTTGAGAATCAAATTCAGTCAATGCATGCAAAAATTTCCTAATTTTACCCACATTAGAAGATCATACAATCAAAAGATTCGATCTTTCCGCAATTTGTGATTATCAAATCTAGAAAGGGTTAAAACCCAAAAACGGGCCAGAACTGCGCTTTGTAAAACAATGATCGCGCCAAATCCCCTCCCAAAACAAATTAAGATTGGGGGCATTATGTATGAATGTGCGGGAGAGCTGTTTTACCGCACTACGGTCTGAAGGATGGTTAAACCGACAGCGATCGCCGTAGCCGCAGAAACCGGTCCTCAGGTAATAAATGCAATCTGCCTCGTTGGGCCGTTCCGGGTATGGTTCGGACCCACCTCCGAGCGTCAACTGCCACATAGGCTCTGCATTCACAGTTAAACCACTTAATAATGACCCACATTACCGCGAATTCCGGCAAAATCGACCCGAAAGTTGAAATGCAACTGACCTTCGAGCCCCGTCTCGCCGCCCGGCGCCATCCACTCCGCCACCGGATCCACCGATGTCCCCTCCTTCGTCTGGTTCCCACTAGACATCTCCATTCCACTCCGACACTTTACTCTGTATATATATATATATATATATAATATGTGCGTGTCTGTATATGTAAACAGCTATGAACAATATAAACAGAAAGAGGCAGAGAGATGTGTATATGTACGGATTGTGTATACAAATCTACAGACAGTTTGTGCGGAGATAGGGAAAGTGTGGGTGTGCTGTTGTTCGGAGCTGTGAAATTGGTTTGATCAGTTCAGTTTTAGGGAGAAGCGCCGAGCCGAGCCGAGCCGAGAGGAGGGGAAAGGTGGGTGGTTGAAGCTCTCAGCTCTCAGCTCTGGAGTAGTCTTTTTAGCAGTCCTCTCTCTCCTCTCTCTCTTACATATACGAAGTACAAATGTAATATTCGCTCCCTCCCCTATTAACTTCGTACTTTCCTTTTTAACCGTCCCAAAATAATCTTTGATTTCCTTAAATGGAAAGTTATCCTACATCAAAACAGTTTCAAATAATGCAAAACAGTGTCTAAACAGTGTCAAACAGTGTCTAAACAGTAAAATCAAATTTATTTTCTAAATATGTGTGTAGGTCAAAGTAGTAACTTAATAGAGGGACGGAAGAAGTAAAAAAAATGAAATGTGTGCTTTTTTCCTTGGGGATATTTTGTGCGTGAGAACGCTTCATTTCTTGTCTCACTTTTTCTCTTGGGTGTAACCTCTTTTAAGGTGATGAAATTTAGCTTCATTCAAGTCAAAAGTGAAATCAAGTTGAAATAAAAGTGTTAATTTGATAACTCTTATTTTCACCTACTAAATTTATAAATAATCAAAATATATAGGATTAAAGTTAATTTTCTAATTGAAATTGTTGAACAAGGCTTTTAGCTTTTTTCATACTATTTTACTAATACAACATATTTTAAATATAATTTTTTCACAATTGATTATATTCAACTCATTGAGCCGCTTTGGCTGGTGTTGGGTTAATGGCCCAAGTTGAGGTTCGGCCCATTTACCTCTTCTTCCGGACGTACGTCCAGATAGATCACTAAGCTAGCTTGCCAAGCCCATTTCCTCCAGGAGAGACGAACGTCTATGCAGGGACAAGGAGCAGGACCACGGGTCACCAGAATGACGACGAACGTCGTCAGAACAAGCCCATAGCCGTCGGAGGCAGTCCAGTCCACATGGCGAGAATCCACAAAGGCCAGGGGACGAGCGGCCAATACCCCTTGGAGGCCACCTGGAGCTATTCAGCTCTCTCCGGCAGACGAACGTCCCCACTAATTAGGCGGGAAACCTAGATTCTGGCGGGAAGTGCATTTAATGCGGAAGATTTGGTGGTTGGGACACCAGCGGACCACAGGCTTCCACGTCAGTATAGCCACCTGCCCATTGGTGGGTATAAATAGCAGCATTTATTTCATTATAAAGGGTTGACAACTTTCTATTCTTAGCATTCTAGCTATAGCATTCTTACTCGCAGCACTTCCACTGCCTTGTAAGACGAACGGCCAACGAGCCTTAGCGAAAAGTATTGTATTAGGGAGTTATTAAGAGATAATAATACCTAATCACTTACTTGCTATTTATTGTTCTCCTTGATCCGCATCACTTGCTTGTTGGGCTAGATATTCATACACACTCCACTCGAAATCCTTGAGCTTACGTGTTGGACCCGATGGTTGAAGGAATAAACCCCAACAGCTGGATTTCTAGAGGTTGAAAAAATACCAAAGACAGATGAAGAAAGAAGAAAAGAAAATCAGAGGGGTTGATGAAATAGATGACTGCACAGATTGGTGATGAAAAAGATGAAAGAATTGCCGAAAGAAAAGAGGAGTGTTTGTGATATGTTTTAATATCAAATTACACCGTCTTAGGATTGGTACATCACATGCAGGTGTATAATAATTACACAGTATAATTTTCGAGTAATTACATCTTCTCATATTCAATATATGGTGTTTTACAAAGAGTTAATTCCCAAAATAAGATTAAAATAATAAAGAAATGCATAAATATGACTTCCATGTTTTATAATACTACAAATGTACTCACTTTACAAGATTACCCCTAATGAATTTGTAAATCTATTTACAATTAAAATATAAATCAAAATAAAAAAAAGCTTACTAAGACCATAGTTTCCGCTACCGCCTCCCGCTTCCAGCCCCCCGCCCCCCAAGAAGCCCAACTTAAACTTACGTAATCTAAGAAACCCTAGATACGTACCTCTCCGCAAAAGTCTTCTTTGACCAAAGTTAATCACTGATTGAGTCACCGACCAAAGTTAATCACTGATTGAGTCACCGTGACTTACACCCTCTCAAATGATTTGTCGAGTCGAGGCGTGGGGAGGTTTGGAATTGTGGATTCAACCTTTTCGAACATACTACGTAGTAGGGTAAAATAAATGGAGCATCTTAAAGTTACTAATTATGAACGTATGTATATAAATGATGTTGACATACGTACAACTTTGTATCCATTCATAAATAACTTAATAATAACTTCTCATATTATATTCTTCCTCATTTAATTTTCTTCTTTCACTTAATCATACAATTATATTATGTGTATTCGTGCTACAATATATAAATAGCTACATTTCACATTTTAGTTTTATAGCATCACGGATTATTACTTAAAAGTTATCCGCTTTTATGATCTAATAAAGTTATAAGACTAAACTTTTTTTTTTACTTTTTTCTTTATGGTCTAATAATTAAACTCCTTTTTTAATAATCACAAGTAAATGTTTTCTTCTCAATTCTATTGATTATTCAGTTATGAATTCTGAGTAGTTTTATTTTGGGATTTGAGATTAGTGTGAAGTATTCTTATGATCTAGATTTTCTTTCTTTATGAGTTGATTGCATGAATTTTATTTAATTTGTATTTGAATATTTTAATTGATACCATTTATGGTTCAGAGTGACCGCTATGACTATAATAACATATAAAATAATTAAAATAAATTTAAATTGTTTATGACACTTTCACACACATCTTCCCACTCGCTAAGAGATTAAGTTTTTTAACCTATGAAATTCCCTTTGAAAAATACTTATGAAATTCAATAAACATTTAGACTTACGGCGCATCACCGACTCAATATTCATATATAAAGGGTTCAATAACACAACTATAATAATTTATTAGCTTAAATATGTTTTTAGTCCCTGCAAATATGAAGCAGTTTGTTTTAGGTCCCTGCAAAATATTTTTCTTCTTTTTCATCCCTGAAATATCCACTATTTTGTTTTTAATCCATATCTAATTCTGAAACTACTCTACATACAAAAAAAAGTTATTGCCAATTACATAAATCTATTAGAAATATTTAAATTTGTCCTTTTATAATTTTTTGAGCCTAGTATGAGAATTAAAACAATATAAAACTAAGTATTCACATTTTCAAAATATATATAAAAACCTTCTAAACAAAATTTAAATACTTTTAGAATAAAAAAACAAGATTAGAGGAACTCTATTAATCGGGGTTATTTTGAGGTCAAATGAAGGTTGTTATTATCAATGTTGGACTAAAAATAAAATCAACACAAATTACAGGGATGAAAAACAAAAAAAAATAATTTTGCAGGGATGTAAAACAAAATATACTATATTTGCTGGGCCTAAAAACATATTTAAACCTAATTTATTTTCAAAGGGCAGAAGGATAGACCTTTGGAGGTGGCGCTGGATAGTGTTGACTTATGGGTCCAAGTCCTGAAGTCCATAACCTATCGCTAGGCTTTATGACAAAGAAAGTTGCACGTGGTATTGGGAACACTATCGGTTCATTCATTGCAGTTGATGAGAGTACTTTGGATGGTGTATGGAGATCTATCTTGCGGATTCAAGTGGCAATAAATACTAAGAAAGCTTTAATTCGCAAAAGAAAGGAAGGGGGAAATTGGTTCTGGGCAGAGTTCAAGTATGAGCGGCTTTCACAGTTCTGCTTCATCTGTGGAATCATGGGACATGTTGATCATCTTTGTCCATCTAACCCTCAATCTGGATCCTGGACGGGAGAGAAGCCATATGGGGCTTGGATGTGTGCAGATATGAGAAAAGGAGGAGTGCATCTGGGTAATAAGTTGTTGGTCCCTAACGGAAGCGGAATCAGTTCACGGAAGGGAGAGTTTACGAATGTTCTGGAAAAGAGCAGTGTGAGTGTGGAGGAGACGTACAGTTCTACAGTTGATGGATTGCGTTCTAGAGGTAATGACATAACTGATCCACAGGTGGAAGAACTCGGGAAGCGCAGAGAGACAGAGCCGGGAAATAGAGAGGATATTCATACCATCATGGCGGTTTATGAGAGAGATCCAAAAAAACGGACAAGTGGCGGTGACAGGGGAACGTCACCGCCTGTCATATTTAAGGAAACTCTTGGAGATGAGAAGAGCTCGATGGTCAAGCACAAGGAAAAGCTTGTGTGGGGTGAAGAGGAGGCGGTTGACTCTTTTACTGTAGCGGTGGCTGGTCAAATCACGTCTGCCTTCCCAGTGGCTGGAAAATCTGGACTTTGTGATTCTATCATTCCTTTGGAGGTGGCTAGACAAACCTCTTCTCCCTTCCCGATGGATGGTCAAGTCGGAATATTTTCTTTGGAGGTGGTGGATAAAACCTCTTCTCCCTTGTTGGTGGTTGGTGAAACCAGATAGTCTATTGCTATTGTTCATTTTTAGGTTTCAAATGCTTGTTTATTATTTTTATGTCATAGTAGCAAGTCCAACAATGCTGATAGTTTAGCCTACCATATTGTGGAGTTAGCGACATGGCACGACCTTTCAGGGCTGACTAGTTCTATGTCTCGCTCCAGGTTTGCTCTAAGCTGTTGCTCTGCTTTGTCTACTGTTACTTTAAATATTATGAATAAATGAGTTTCTTCGTTTAAAAAAAGTACAACCTTCAAATTGAAATTGAGTTTTCAATTAATTGCTATCAAGTCCAATTAGTGAATAATCATTAATTGCAATTAAGTCCTAAATTCATAATATTTACATCTACTTACTTAATACTCCCTCCGTTTCTATTTGGTTGACACACTTTCCTTTTTTGGACGTTTCAAAATGAATGCCACACTTCTTTATTTCCTTATTTGGTAAACAAATCTTTACCTAAACAGTGCAAAACAGTGCCAAACAGTGTTCAAACAGTGTCAAACAGTGTTCAAACAGTGCCAAACAGTGCCAAACAATGTACTCTACAGTAAAATTTACCCCTCAATAACTTTCCCCCCTTAAATCTTGACAAGTCAAACTGTGTCAACCAAATAGAAACGAAAGGAGTATTTAAGTACAACCTTCTAATTGAAAATGCATGAATTCTCAATTAATTGCTATTGAGTCCAATTAGTGAATAGTCGTTGA